TTGTCAGCCCTGTCACAATCCTGCTCTTGAGAAGGCCATGGTCAGTAAAGCATCTCAGGTTCAAGTGTGAATCCGGGTTCCACCGCTTACTGGCTGAGGGGCCTTGGGCAAGCCAAATGACCTGAGCCTCAATTTCCAAATCTCCCCTGGGGAGCGCCCGGCCCCCGCGGCACCCGAGCCCCTTCACATGGCGCCCGGTGAGGAGAGCCGGGATCTGTGATACTCGGCCGCCCAGCCCCACATGAGCTAATTCTTTTTATTTATTTTTTATTATTTTATTAGGGAATTGGGGGAAGGGGAACAAACAAGTTGCTGTCATTTTGTTCTTCAGTTTAGTTGTGGAGGATGATGCTTCACTGGTCCAAATTGGCACCATCATTGTGCTCTTCCCGGGCGAGGCACATCAGTCACTGGCTTCTGGACGGCGGCTCACTGCGGCTGCTGGCCGCTCACGCTGGCTGCTGGCTACACACAGTAGCCCATGGCAACCCACTGCCACAGGGGCTGCAGCCTATGCCATTGCCGGCGACTCACAGCAGCCCAGCTCCAAGTTGAGCTGTTGTTCAGCATCTTAGCTGTGGAGGGCAGTGTCACTGGTCCTAATATGTGGGATCGGAACCGGGGCCCTCTGGCGTCCCAAGCCAGTTCTTAACCATTGCGCCACTGGGCCGGCCCCTTAAGCTAATTCTTAAGCAACTGATCCACTGGCCGGTGGCAAGCTTTTAACACAGTTTCTTTTCCTTTGGTGGATTTGAGAGGAAAGGCTCAGAGACATGCTTGGGGGACTCATGCATTCATTCAGGAAATGTTTATTCTATGCCCCCCCCCCTTTTCTGGATGCCAGGGACCTAATGGTGAACAAGACAACCATAGGCGCTCTCACACATGTTTGAGCATGCACTAGAGCCACATGTTACTACACAGGCTGGGGTGCACAGCAAGTACACACCCAGATGCTCTCAGAATGGTTGGAGCAATCAGCACGGTTACTGTTAGCGTCCTTGTGGTCACAAGGAACAGAAACCCATCCTTGTGCTTCTCTTGGCAGCCAGCCTTCTTTTGCTGTTTTGCGTGAGTGTATTATTTAGGATTCTTTTGGTTTCAAGCAACTTCTGTCTTAGCTCACTTTAGCATAAATAAAAA